CGGGAACCCGACCACAAGCACCCAGCCTGGGAGACAAATGAAAAGAAGTGGGAGACAAATGAAAGGACATGGGAGACAAGCCAGCCGGGAACCGGACCAGACCATCCAGCACCAAGGCGACCATTCTTTAAAGCATTGAGAACCCCTAACAGTAAACTGTTTGGGGAACAAGTGGGAGACAAATGAAAGGAAGTGGCCTGGGAGACAAATGAAAAGAACTTGGAGACAAATGAAAGGAAGTGGGAGACAAATGAAAGGAAGTGGGAGACAAGACGGCCGGGAACCCGACCAGACCATCCAGCACCAAGGCGACCATTCTTTAAAGCATTGAGAACCCCTAACAGTAAACTGTTTGGGGAACAAAGACTTTATCGGAGATTCAACGTGTTCTTTTTCGTGCGAAAGAAATGAAAAAAAAAATGCACACTTGCGTATTTCATTCTGCACTTCGGTGGTTCAAAAGGAGCAAAGGTTCCATAAACTTTTGCCCGTCACCCCCCACCCCTGACCGAGTCCCGAGTCCGCCTCACGTTTCTTGAAGGCGCCCCAGTCCAGGCTCCGGAGCTGTTGCAAGTCCTGCCGAGGCGAGTCCCGCGAGTCCCGGGCGCAGCGACGTATGGGCAGGGTGCCGGGTGCAGGGTGCCGGGGTGCCGCGAGGCTGATCCACCACGCCGAAAATGGATCCGTGCGAAAGAATTTCAAGTTCAGAAAGCTCCAGTCTTGATGTCTGTGACCTCTCCTGCTTCTGGAGCTGAAGGTCGATGATCCGCCTTCTACATCAAGTGCACGAGGCATAGGTCAACGAACCAAAAAGAACATGAATGAACAGTGTTTGACCGGTCCCAGACGAGTCGAACGAGTCGACCGGGTCCAGCCGGGTCGAAGACTCGTCGGTCCTTCTGGAACTTCGCGCTGCTCGACACCGTGCGCAGCTCCTGGCGGCTGCGCCGCTGCCGCTCCACGCGTCTCCGGCCCCCCCTATGGCACCCGGTGCCGGCCAAACCGGCACCGGTGGCCATTCGGTGGGTTGAAGAAAGGTGGCGACTGAGAATTGGATGATCAACTGATGTCCCAATTGAGATCCTAAATGGATTCTTGGGTTCATTCTTGTCAGTGACTAAGAGCAGTTGGATAGAGCTCAATCGGGTTTGCTTGGGCGGAACCATCTCCCGCACCTTCAAACCATCCCAAAGAAAATGCAGGTTTGGATCTCGAGCGGAGTGAAGCCGAGTACTTGGTGGACTGGGGAAAAAGACCACGCGCCGCAATAAAAGCATGTGGGGAACCTCAGTGGACGTACCATGCTCCAGCATCCAACCAGTCCATTTGGTCCACAGTAATCAGTAAATAAACGCTTCTTCTGCTCTCATCAGCTTGAATTCTTGCAAGAAGACGCATGCTTCGGTCTTGCCTGCTTGCTCTCATCTGCTCTCATCAGCTTGACGGGGCCCATCTGCCCTGCTCCCCGCAGAGACCAGCCATGGCCAGGTCCGTCCTCAAGAAGGGCCCTGACCTCTTCAAGACCTAGCTGAGGCACCTGGGCGAACTGGCTTGAGCAGCCAAAGAATGAGAGTACCAGGTACCATTGACCACTGGTTTGTAAAGGCACCAGTAGCTCCTTCCGGTGCAGGCAGCCATTTCCACGTACATGAATGAACATAGCAGTAGAGTTTGACCGCACGTTGTCAGGTTTCGACAGGTTTTGTCAGTGCAAGCCAGGGGTGGCAACTCCCAACAGCGTCAGGTGGCCTCTCCTGCCCAAAGTGGAGGGGTCTCGGGAAGTCTACTGGTCGTTTTAACTGGCATAAAATACTCTCAGCACTCCTGGCACTCCCAGACAACGAGACCTCAGAACGATCAGATGTTGAACTGCGGCCTGAAAATCCAGAACAGTAGGGCAGTTTGCGAAGGTGCTTAGTACTGAGCAGCTCATAGCGGAGAATCTCAGATGGTTTCTGCCAAGCTACACAAACAGTACATCAACTTCAGTCTCTCCCCACCGTGACCAAACCACCGGTCACCCTTTTGGACTGATGGATGTTCTCCCGACACCGGAACCAGCTCGGACCGGACCGCCCCAACGAGATCGGTGAGACCGACTCGACCAGCGCGGCTCCGATCCTGACCGCCCCAGAGACGGCGCAGACGGAGGCAGAGACGTCGATCGATCCGGAAATCATCTGGAAAGATCCAGCTTCGTTTCGCCCGACAAAGCACCAAGGTCTCCGGGTCGTTCGAGACCAACACAGGCAGCAGAGGCGACCCCGTTGGTTCCCCAACGCCCCAACCAACCGCATGTTTGAGCCCGGCGGCGGCCGGTGGCGCGCCGGAAAGCCTCCAGCAGATGGACGTGGGCATCGGTGCTGGGGTCGGTGCTCCAAGGTCTTTAGAATCACTTGAGGCTTGAGGGGTTCAAAAGCGGTGAAGGACGATAGAGGACACATCAGCGAATTCCCAATGTGTCATGTCGCCAGTCTGGACTGTGGCCCAATCCGTTGACCACTGAATCTTCAAGGTGCTACTCACTTGCCCCAAGTGGTGAAGATTTGGGGCCAAAAACTCGACTGGCAGTGTAGAAGGTCTGCCAGAAGTTCGGGTGGAGGGGTGCAAGACTTCCCGAAGGCCAACAAAGAAGCGGGCAAGCACAACTACAAACTGGAAAGTTGAAATGTTTTGAGTGAAAGACTCGGAAAAAAATGGTGAACCCCTCCGAAAAAGAGGACTCTAGTGACTCTAGTGACTCTAGTATGTGTTGAAACTGACGTTCTCAACCAACGCTTGGGCACTCAAGAGTCTTTTTGAAACTTGGGAAGTTCTTTTGTCGTGGGCGGAAGTGCAACGTGAGCATGTTGAGGCCTGCAAACGGATCCACCTCAACTTGATCCTTTGTCCGGATCAATGCTAAAATTGTTGACAACACAGAACCGGAGAACGCTCTGGGAATATAGTCTCACACTTGCAGGAAGTGTCCATGTTCCCCACCTTAAATAGAGATAACAGAGAGATTGACAGAGGCTTTCCTCACCTCTAGATTCCCCAAAAGAAACCATATGAACAAAATAAAAAGACTCACCACCCTTCCACAGCCGTTCCCCTCAGGCTCGTACTTGGAGACCTGGCGGCAGCGGATCGCTGGGGGCACATCCCAACCCCAAGCAGAAAGAACGAGACGTCGCCGTGACACGAAAGCGGAGGAGACCATCTACTGTAGACTCTTGAGGACTATAGACCCCCGCAGTTGAATTGAAAATCCTCTTCAAAGGTATGGGTATTCTTAATCAAGAGTCCACATTCGCTTCGTCTTCCAATCGATCCAGATCTTGCACTCTTCCACAAAACCTCCGCTCGGCAACAGCCACGCCACCTGGACCACGTCGTTTCGATTCTGTTCGTTTGTTCGAAGATCACCGGCCGCCTCGGGGCTCTTGGAGACCTGCTTGGCCGGCCTCGTAGTCCGCCCAGTCACGCCGTGACACGGGAACACGCGACCACTCTACTACTGTGCGCGTTGTCCTCGGGGCGGGGCGGGGGGAGTGGTTCTCAAGTCCGGATTGAAAATGGGCCCCCTTCGGACGAAGTCCTAACCTCCGGTCGAAGCTCTCCCCATTTCGGGTCCCACATTTCCAGGTCCCCAATTCCGGATCTCTCTGGGTAAAAAATCCCGGGTCGGCGTGAATCTTCTACTGCAAGAATTCAGCCGGGACCCGCTTTTCGGACCAGAAAATGGGACCCTCTTCTCGCATCTTCCTCCGCCGAGCCGCTCCGCCAGGGACGCCGCGGCCGCGAAGGCGCCGAAGGCACCTGACGGTCATGGCGGCCGAAAACGCGGTCGGGCGGTCGGCAGCGAGCGAGTGGGTTCTTTAAATGGATGAAATAGGCGGAAATTTGGACCTTCAGTTGGAAGATCCAGGTGAACTTTTTGCATATCATATATAATGTATATACCTAGAACCTGAGTGACCTCTATTTTGGACCACCAATGGGTCAGGTTCCCAGGTGTGTACATATGATGTGTGTGTATTAAAACGCTTGGGCTCTTTCAGAACAGGAGGTTCATACAGGATCATACAGGTGTGTATTGAAATAGGAAGACCTCCCAGTTCGACCCCCTAGAAAATAGACCAACAAAAGCAGTCTACCCCTTGAGCCAGGTGGTCTCCCTATGAAATTACATACCCATATGCCTTCTTTCCAGGCTTTTCTTCAGGAGCCTTCGGCTTTCTTGCGCCCGTTGAACACCTGCGGGACACTGGGGTTGAAACTCTTGACTTCCAGTTTATGAAGTGACCAGAACTTGCACGTCATACACTGGCATCGAAGGCCCAAAATCCAAATCCCATCACCAAGGTCACCAGCACACCACTTCAACATCTATCCTTGGAACTGCTGTCGAAAAGCTGGAACTGCCCTGCCCCACCCCTCCCTCCCGCGTTCCCGGCTGTTCCGCTACGTTCCCATCGAGCCACCACTGCGCCCCATGGCGGACTTAGGTCGTCATCATGGTTTCCAAGGATCCAGACAATCGACGTGTTCTGTTTTTGAGAGGTTGCTGGGAAGGTTCTCAAAATGAGGGCCAAAGACCCGGCCTCTGCTTCGAAATCTCCGAAAAAAAATCCTGCAAGAGGCTGTAGATGTTCCACCTCAAAATGTGGATGACTTCAAAACGTTCAAAGATCTTTTGCTGTGTTTGGGTGGGGGCTGATGTGCAAACATGGCAGTCGGACTCGGCCACAAAAATGGTAGCATTTGGATTGCCCTTGTGATGAATTGCTATCCATTTCATGTTGCCACCTAGGTTTGATATAAGGGCCTCCAGGGTTCAGGTTCTTGCGTCACATCCTCCTGTCATACAGCTGCAGCAAAGCGGACAAGGTCGGTAACGAGGACCACTTGGAAAAGAAAATGCTTTCAAGCTGGGCTTCTATGCTACTATGGCCTCCTTGTGCTCATTCTCTAGACTAGGACAATAGTGTGTAGTGCAAAACATCTCTGCATGGAAACAAGCTTCCCCAAAATTCTTGTGGAACATGCCCTGAATGGTATTTTTTTTGCACGGTCTAATTCGTGGGACCAGTCGGCTGGAAAGGAGAAAGCACCACAAAACAGGTCAAGAACCCCGCAAAAGGTCTGCAAGGGGGGGCCTGCAACAATGTTTGACCTTGACTCAGAAGCCTTGCCAAGGTTTGAGGTGAGCATCAGTGAGTGAGGCCTGTGACTTTGGCAATTGAGACGCACCAAATACCAGTACAATCTCAAACTTGTATTTCAGGCGGATGCCTCTCCCCACTCCGCCACTCCACTCCACCTCCTGCGAGGCCGCACGCCGCGGGAGAGCGCAGAACTCTGTTTCTTCCGTTCTCGGCTCGAGAACGGCGTCTCTGCCTTGGAAGGCGTGCCTTTCGCAGCGCCGCGCCTGGCGCGTCAACCCAGGTCTTGCCGGTATTCTTGCTGCCGTGTGCATTAGAATAGGGAGACCCACCAAAGACCCCCTGGAAGAAAGGAAATAGACCAAAATACACCCGGTATCCATGTATGAGTTGAGACATACTAATGAATGCATGCTTGCTTGGCCTGGCAAGGACTAGGGGATCTCACCACAAATCTGTTCCGCCAGTGCGCCTATAATCTCCGCACAACAGTAACAATCATCAACAGCATGGCAACGGCATTTGACGAAAGGTGATGTGCATAGCCCTGCAGCTTTGGAAAGGCATAGAGAGATGCTCCGTAGATCTATTGGTATTAGGATTTATTGAATGGGAGAAGAGAACTTCAAAAGGATCTCCTAGCTAGAAGCTACTAGTAACAAGGGCAGCGCTACTAGTAACAAGGCATAGTGGCATAGTAGCTAGAAGATGCTAGAAGCTGTCTATTTCTTATATCGCTTGGTCCGCGTCGTCCGCGTCCCCCGCCTCCACCAGGACCAGCCCAAGCTCAAGCCTCGAAGCCACCTGGATGTCGACAGACGAGGCTCGACCCGGTGGCTCGGCTGGCCGGGAAATGATTGGATGACTTGTTTTCGCACCAAAGAAGTAAACCATAAATCTAACATCCAAAGTCTCGGTCCATTCGAGGTCGAGAGGTGGAGATCCAATTTGCCACGAACGTCCAACTCTAGGGAGCCTCGAGAGGCCTCTTTTTTTCCTTTTAGAACTACACGGCAGGGGGTCAACTGGTGATATAGCAGAATGTGGGACTTGGCCAGTCCCACCTACCTGCTTCAGTTGTGATTGTGAAGATCGTCCACTCCTACCGATCAATAGGCTGCTTAAGTTCGGGGGAAACCAGGTCCGGAGTCACGCAAGACCTGTTTTTCGTGGCGTACGGGGCATTCAGGTCGTACGTATCTGGAGTTTGTCCCGACAAAAAAATGGGCGCGGACGCACGCTCGCGCGTAAACGCATGTGGGAGGCAAGCCCTTTTGCTTCGGCCAAGTTGACCCCACAACCCCAACCACTCGGCCAGCCCCTGGGGCCGTCACTGTGACCGCGCGGCGAGGGAGGAAGAGCTGCTGCCCTGGCCTGTCCAAGTGAGTGCAAACAGATTGCAATGGACAACTCGTATCATGTTTCTGTCACCCTGTCGAACATCACCCTGCGGAAAACCACGATTGGTCAGTCTTGGTTTGGGCTCCACGTCACTGTATCAGAAGGTTGTATCATGTTGTGTCGTGCCGATCCCCTCATAGATGTGTGGAAAAAAAAACAAAAAAAAACGTATCCCCCCGTTTTTGAGCTTGCTCTGGACCCGTCTCCCACAGCCACCATCAACACGTACTGCAGTCATGTATACTCTCCCTGAAACAATCATGGAAGTGGAAAACCATCGGTTTAGTAGAGGAAAACAGTCTTCCAAGAGGCCATGTTCCACTTCCATGTTTGTTGGAGGGAGGGTATATGAAAAATGCATAAAATTGCCATATAGAAGCCCAATGCCGCAAGTATTATCCTTCCAATATTCCAAACCATCGGTAGACAAAGGACAACACTGTGCTTGCTTTTGCCCTGGCCACAACTCCTGCGGCATCATGATAGAATGATAATTAGCATACAGTAGTCTTCATAATATGGTTTTTCATGGTTTTTCCAGATCACGGATCACGACCACTCTCCGGGGTATGCTCTTGGACCACCTTCGCTGCCCCCGGCGACGCCTCCCGCAGCGCCGTATCTGCTGCCACTTCCTGAGCGGGTTTACTCATGCCAAGGTGGCGAGCTTTGGACCCATGTCATATCATCACCAGTTGGTACTGCCCTCCAGACTCTTGGCTCAAATCGCCGCATGAGTGCCTGGGCTTTCACAGCAGCAATCTTACAAAGCCTGGTTAGTGTCATTATGTAGCACCAAGCTTTCCTTTGCAAGTCCCATCTTGTCTACTGTCTTGTGGTAGAATGTGGTAGACAATGGTAGACATCTTGTTCTACACCCCGCACCTGATGGTCAACAAATGATGTACAACCACCCACACAAGTGTGGCTGCGTGGATCCATGGGTGACTTCGACGAGACGAGCCTTGCTTCATCCGAAGCAACGGGAGGACGTCCACACACTCGGTGTCGTCCACAACGCTGACCACGGTGTCGGCCATCTGTCGACCATCTGCCAGATGGCGGCTCCATCCCGCCGAGCCCGGCTCCATCAGAGAGGAAAGCAGGTCGAATCTGAGAACTCCGGCCCAGTCATGCACCACATGGATGTCCTCCAGTCTGGGTCTCCGAAGTCGACGCAGCGAGACACGAGCGCGTGAGACACGACACGCGCCATCTGGGACACCGAAGGATCACCCTGGGTGGTAAGCCCCAAAGCCCCAAGCAACGTCTGGAGTCCAGCCTTTGATCCGGGAAATTCAGCTTGAGTGTTCAGCTTGGTCTGGAGCAGCATCTGAAAGGTCTTGGGTGTTTGGGGGGGTGACCTTCAGCTTGAGGATAGCCATGGAGGGAAATGGATCAGACCACGAAATCCTGCCCAACTCCCTTATCCAAGCAACTCGCCAAGCACTTATATAAACCTCCTGATCCATCCTTATCATATATCCATCCTGATCCTCTTTTCGCCTCGAATGAAGAACCCTGATACCCAGCACCATGTTCGGGAAGAACATAGTTCCTCCATGACAGTTTCGGATTGCCAGGTCAAACAAGGTCAAACAAATCATCTCCGGTTTGAAAGTTTGATTAGAAAGAACGACAAACTGCCCATTAGAGCCCAAGCAGTCGAGTGACTCATTTTCCAACTTCGAACAAGCGATTGAAACGACAAACGTCCGAGATTCTCAACGAAATCTCTGCGACCGCCAGGCATTGCTGTTGCTGGTCGAGTCGCCCATTCCTGTGCGATCTGTTTGCACTTCGCTTAGGCGTCCAGTCCTTTCAAAATGACCTTCCGCCCAAGCGATGAGTTTGATGCCTCTGCTGGCGGCATCCGGAAGACAACTACCAGTGCACTCAAATTATCAGTACTCTTCAACTTCTGGGCTTGCTTCAGTAGCGACTCAGCCGCAGCTTGCGGGGATCGTGTTCCTGAGCTTTCAACGGATGAAAAAAATGGATCACGACAACTCAGGAGAAGCGAAAACAAAGGATGTCATTCAATTCAATCAATCATTGAGGGACGGAAACGATGAAATCAGCCAAATTAAACACGTGCTCTGCAAAAAAAACAAGGTTCTCCGCAACTGTCGTCTGATCGACTGGACAGCGTCCAAGTTTGTCATGCTCTCAAAGACGCCGTCAGAGGCAAGCAGGATGAACTCCGTGCCGGCATCTACCGAGAAGACGGTCACATCTGGTTCCGATAATAGTCCTGGACATTTCGTCCATGTTGAGCATGTGAAATCTCCCAAGGCGCGGCTCACTGAGAGGCCACCTGCCAGGTAGCGATCACATGTCATTTGGATCCCTTGCGTAGTCAAGCGTTCTTTTTCAAATGGCTCACATGGCCTGTGATCCTTCGTCATCACTGTCAAGGATCCTCCTTTGTAGGCCAAGGCTCGGCAGTCTCCGAGGTTGGCCACAGCGAGCTCGTGTTCATCTCGCACAGCGATGCAGGCACATACGCCCGAGGACAGGAAATAGTCCGGGACGTCTGCTTCATCTTGCTTCAAATGGCCCAACAACGCTGCATCAGCCTTTTGAAAGGCTTCTTTCATTCTGAGGCCCATATCTGGCCCCTTTTCCTTTCCCAAGAGCTTTGGGAGTGCTTCTTTCACATAGGTCACGGCTTCAGCTCCGCCGTGGCCGTCGTAAACCGCGAAGAAGTTGTCTTGAACGTCAACGGCATCTTCCATGGCTCCGCGGCCATTTTGCATGACGCACCAGCCATGCTGGTCGTCTCCTCCACTTGCATCAGAAGGTAAAGGCTCGACTTTTCCTCGTCCGAAGCATGGGCACACCGCTCCCATGGCTCAGCAAAAAGGGCGTTGAGATCCTCGTTGGGCACCTGAGGGCCCCTTTCCGTTTGATCCGACCTTACGACAGCAACCCCCTTCTGAACCACATGCTTCTTTGGATCTTGCTTGACTGGTGAGCACCGGT